AGAGCACTGCACGGACCCTCTGCACTGGGAAGACGGAAGAGAGCACTCACGGCACCAGAGCACCTACCTGGACCTTTCTCACTAACACCCATCACCCCAATAAATCCACCCTCCGGGGTATTGATTGAGATTACTTGTCGTGTGATTCTTCACCCCGTTACAATACACACAGAAAAAAATTGAGATTAGGAAACAAAGCAAGAGGAAAAAGCTAAGAAAAGACACTGTGTGATGCATGATAAATTATTGGCTAATATTAAACGTATTACAATACGCAATTTCTGGCCTTCTTCCTTTTCCTGTTCACTTCTTTACATTTTCTTATAGTGGTAAGATGCTTTCTCAACCTAAAACGCTTCTTCTCACTAAGCTCATCAACTCCAACATTTCTCTGATAAAGAGTAACAGACTCAACAAATTTGTCTACATCAGGAAAGAAATATTTTATGTTAATCTGTTTACCATATGTTTTATCCAGAAAACTGTTGATTTCCTCTAAGCTATAAAATGAGTCTTTGTTAAAGCCTCCAGAAAAAAACAGCTTGAACTGAACTGAGTACAGTTCCCTGCGAATTACCATCATCACACTGAGAATCTTCCTGTAACTCAAGATCATCAGACAGCACATCGTCCATTTCCTCATTATTCACAACATCATAGCACAATTCTTCTTGACTTGCATCGTTTACACCTTCCTTATTCTCCAAATGTTTAACACCACTAGTACTAGGAACTACTTCATCAGTTTTAACATCAGACACTAGAAAGTTTGCACTAACACAAGGTACCACATGAACTGCAACATCTCTATCAGCACAAACATTATTAAAAACGGAGAGAACAGACTCTGTATTTTCAGCCTTATCAGCAGATAACACAGCATCAGCATTAACAGCACTCACCTCAACAGGTGGAACAACGTCATCTGGAGCGGCCTCAGGCTCAGCCGAGTCTTCAATGTTATCTGCAGCAGCAACCCCCGATCTTGCCGCACTCTCTGCACCTGTTCTCTTGTGCGGACACACAAGATGCTTGTGTCCGATGTCTCCACATTCAAAACATCGTATATTGCTGGTGGTCACATACACCATATACGATCTTCCCTCATGATTCACAAGAAAGTTTATGTCCAATGTATTATCATTAGACTCCAACATCATAAAAACATGCCTCCTAAAGGACACAACGTGTCTCAAGGAAGGATGCTTACAGCCGAGCGAGATAGTTTTAAAAGGACAAACAACCTTCCCAAATCGTGCTAATTCACGCTGTAAAAGCTCATCCGATATCGAATGGCGGAACATTTGAAATCGTAACTTTTGTGGACGGTGAGGAAAGCGGAAAAAGTTGTACAAAAGCATCATTAATAACCAGACCACTCACTATTAAACGACTGATTAAATTTCATTTTTTCAAGAATACCACAACAGCCTTATTCATACGTGAAGCAGATAAAATGTTTTCATGACCAATCTGATCCAATTACGACAAGCACATCTTCCACTGTGGCATTGTCTTCAGGAACACACCTGAAACCATTCTGAATTGATAATGGTGGCGTCTCTGCAAAATATGCCATCCTACCACACAACCCAAAAACAATGCTCTTTTAAATGTACACTTTCCAAATCATACAACTTTGAGAGAGAAAAAAGGAAAAAAAGAAAAAAGATTTAGAAACTCTCACCACACAACAGCTCTCACAACCACCACTCTTACCCGACTCCCAGCATGCATCAGAGAGAGAGAGACAGAGAGAGAGGGAGGGGGGGTCTTTTGATGGTCCCCCAGTCACACCCAACTTTGGTGGAATGGCCAATACAAGGCGTGAGTTTTGAGTGGGAGAAATTTTTCTTTGTCTCCATTTACAGCCCATTTGCATGTTTATTGCTGGTCTGGAGAATTGGTGCAGTTTTACCCAAAGTATAGTAAAAATAACATGATGTATTTCATAATTACATAGTGTACACCATTGTTTAGGAAACAGAGAGCAGATCGTTTTGATACCAAGAAAGAAACGGCTAGAAGATATTACAACAGAGCTACATTCTTAAACCTGGATATAAGCATTTAGAGCAGTGTTTCTCAACCCTGGTCCTGGGCGCCCCCCAACACTGTACATTTTGTATGTCTCCCTTATCTGACACACCCATTTCAGGTCCTGGAGTTTCTTTTAATGAGCTAATGAGTTGAATCAGGTGTGTTTGATTAGGGAGACACGCAAAATGTGCAGTGCTGGGGGGCGCCCAGGACCAGGGTTGAGAAACACTGATTTAGAGTTTAACTAAATCCCATAAAGAGTTGTAACTAGGCTAATATAACAGGGAAACATACATACGACATACATATTCCATATACATTTTATAACAGCTTAATTATGGCCTAAATAAAGAAAATGTCTTTATGTGTGTGTATTATGTGTATTGTAAGTGTGGGGGTAATTCACTGGGCCACATAGGCATTTGATGCCTGGTGCTGAATGTGATCATCTTCTTGTTGGAATGTGTTTGAAGTCAGATGGGGAGATCAGAGTTCTGTTCTGTTTAACATCTTCTGGATGGTGGGGGGAGACCCTTGGAAATTTAGCATCCATATAAACGTAGACTGTGGGGCCAGGTCTGTAATTTATATGCTAATGTCAAAAGGTTAAAAGGATCTCTGAGACATAAAGCCCAAATGATTATCAGTGATCCTATGCAGACACTACACATGAAAAGTTATTAGGGCATGACTAGTAACATCTGGGGCATCCATTTTAGCCATCAGATATATGCTGTGTCCCAGATAATAATCTTAATAAATAAATGATAATAAATTACAAATTAAAAGTAATTTTGGTAACACTTTATAATAATTAATATATATATTCACATATCTAGAAATGAGATAATGTGTTTGTTAATGTTAACTAATGAACTTATTAAATATTACCAAATGATTAACAGATCATTATTTAATGTAAATTGAAATGCTTACAAATGCCATTAAATTTTCAATTCATATGATCATGGATTTTGAAAAAAAATCTTCAAATGATTTTAACAGATGGTTTACAATTATTTAAAGCTTCATTAATAAATCGTTAACAAACATCATATAATGCTTAACGGATCAATAGTTAATGTTTACAAATGTCATTAAACTTTCAATGTGTTTTAAAAATCTACAAATGATTTTTACAGAAATGATATGATATTTACAAGCTTATTTGTTAATGTACTTTTGAATGCTTACAAATGTCATTAAACTTCAGTTCACATATTAGCTAATGCTCTTTTTTACATTTACAATTGTTGTGAAAATATAGCTTATAGGCACTTCATAAACTATTGATGTTAATATATTCATTAGCTCATAATCAGTTTAGTTTAATGACATTTTAATTATTAGGTAATGTTTAATACATTTATTAGTAAACATTAACAAGCACATTATTTCACATTTCTAGATATGTGAATATATATGAACTAATGATCCGTTAAGCTTTACATAATGTTTGTTAATGATTTATTAATGAAAGTTATTATAAAGTGTTACCGTAATTTTTGTGCATCATTTTCAGCTCTATATTTCTAGCTCTGTTCAATTTACCCAAAATATTGGACATAAAATAAAATAAACTGTATGACATTTCAATGTTTGGTCTTTTATGTATATAGTTAGATTACTCCTTAAATAGGTTAGCTATGTGTAGGTTTATAGAGGTTATATGTTTATATAGGTTATGTAGATATTTGTAAATATGTAAATTTATATAGGTTATATGTATATATATTTCTTTGTTTTATATGATTATATGTCCGTCTAAATATAGCACCATGGTCCTGTGAGGCATGACATTTAGTTAATTTGTATGTCTTCACAAGTAGCGGAATGACAATAAATAAGCTCACTTGAACTTGAATTTGAACTTGAATAAGAGATGTGCTTCTCATCTCAAATTAAATCAGTAATATATCATATTCACTGCGCTGCATTTCATTGCTCACTGCGCTCTTGTGAAATTGCTGCACACATTAAAAAAATAAATAAAAAAAATCAACAAGTTTCTAAAAATCAATTTTGACAGGTCTTACCTCAGCCAGGTAGAACTCATCATTGGTGAGTTTATGGTCCTCACCCTTGTGGTAATTGCTAGCAGCTACAATCACATCAACGGCCACCATACTGAGGATGAACATGTGGAAAACTGAAGATCGCATCAGTTGCTGCAGAAAGAAAAGATCAGACACAGTGTTGTCAAAAGCTTAGCGACATTTTGAGACGTCAGTGCAGTTAACTTTTTTTGTTAACTGTGCATGTATATTTTAACTGTGCACACACTTCAGTCAAATAAAATGCATGACTTCTATTCCTAGAGCTAACATATTGAGCAATTTCTTTAATTCATTTTTATATATGTGTGGTACAGTACATCTCTCGCTTTTAATGTCTCTGGATGTATATTCTCCCTTATGAACAAGTAGGCTTACTGTTTCCTCATACTGAGTGTAGCTGCCGTAAAAACATTATTTTCCACTTGATTCCCCACTCTTGTATAATGGAACCTTTTAATCACAGTAAGGACTGAGCCAACTAAATGGACCCTTACTGCCTGAGCCCTCAGCAGGCCAAATGAACCCATCTCAGGCCCATTACAGACCCAGGAACATGAGGCAGGAAAGACAACTTAATTTAAGCCCAGACTGAGCCACCTGTCTGCTGCCCATGAAATCTGTCTCCACTTGAGACTGTGGTGAGTATTCTTCTAAAAATTAGCTGCAACATTGGATGAATTACTGGAGGTATTTGATTTGAAAACAACATTAAACTCAAGCTGCATTATAAAGAAATTTTCCTGCCACAAAACATGATTTCTGGAGCACTGTAATTTTTTTTTCTTCTCACTACCGACACTGCCAAGTTTCTTCCAGTGGGGGAAGAAAAAACACTGACTAATAAGACATAATCTCTTGGGTGATGTGTCTGGAAGCCAGCATTCTAGATAAACAGTTGTCGGTGGAGCTGATATCATTGGTCTCTGAGTACAAAATACAACATATGAAAGCCATAAAGGTAACAAACAAGCAAGCGAACAGAAGTGATATGAAAATAAATTACCAATAAAATGAGAATGTGTTTATTAATATATTACATAGTATATATATATATACTATACCTGCCTAGCATGATTTCATTAGAAAATAGCTTTGATTTTATTTCTAATAGTACAATTTTATTATTGTCATCACACAGTGATATTTTCCTATTTCACCCTATCACAAGCAAATTAAATTTGTATAGCCTGTATTTTGCATTAAGGTGAGTGAAATATGCATTGAGTTGTAGGCTGTATTAATTTAAAGTAAATGATAGTTGTATTATCAGATGGGTCCACACCTGTTTCATACCCATGTTTAAACTGAAAAGAAAACTGTCACAAAAAAATAAATTACCCTATGCAGAAAATGTATCCAGGCTCTGAGGTTTTGTGATTACATACATTTACAAGTCAACTTAAATAATAATAATAATAATTATTATTATTATTATTATTATTATTATTATTATTATTATTGTTGTTGTTGTTGTTGTTGTTGTAGAATTCCAGGTAAAACTACAATACCCACAATCCTGAAGGAGATCCACCAACCAGAGAAGTAATTGTTACCATGGAAACAGGAATCGGGAAAAGAGCTCCACAGTGACCACCCACTCCCATGAGAGCATTGTGAATGATGTAACTGAGTATAGTCTCACCTTGTATTTGCATACATTTAAATAGCCTGCAATAAACTTACGGTATAAACTGTATGGTAATATATGGTGCTTCTGACACTTTTACCTAATTTGCAATGCTTCAAAAGTAATGTAAGTACTGGCTAGGGTTGGGTATCGGTTGGCTTTTTTTCGATACCGGTGCCAAATCGATACTTTTAAAACGGTTCCGGTGCCTAAACAGTGCCTGAACGGTGCCTGAACCAATACTTATTAAAAAATAAATAAATCACTTGACTGCGACAATATAGTTTATCTGTGTTATTTAAGCCATCTCTGTTATTTTCATAATAATTAAGTATATTTATAATAGGGTGACCACATTTTAGTTTTCCAAAAAAAAGGACAGTAGGGGGCGGGGTTCGTGGGCGGGGCTTCACCTAACAGTATACGTAGAAAGGTTTTTTTTGTTTGTTTGCTTATTTTGTTTTTATAATAAATAAAAAGAAAACAAGTAGAAAGAATAGAAAAAGAATAGGGAATGCTAGTGTTAGAGGGTCATTTTTAAATAAAAATAAAACAATTCAATA